AAATTTTTTTTTTTTTTTTTTTTAAAAAAAATTAATTTTTTTTTTTTTTTTTTTTTTTTTTTTTTTTTTTTTATTAAAAACTAGTACTGCAATAAAATATACTTGTTTAAAAGCAGTTTCCACACCAGGGCTGTCGTTAGACGCACTACATGTGTGCACCAAATCCTTAATGAGAAGTTTTACATCCCAGCTGAACTGACAACTCATCAGTGCAGTTCTGTGCACTTTCATTTTTATGCAAAAAAAAATATCCTGCTCTTTACCTTTCACACCTAAAGGGATTTATTAAAATATAGACCAGTTTATAGCACACTAATGATGCTAAAACAGAGTGAGGGGAAATATTTTTTAAAATACACACCACTCACCTATTAGAAACATAAAAGGTTCAGAAATGATGGAGCAAAAAGAGAGAAAGACGCGCTCTTATCTCACGGCTACTCGCTTTGCCTAATTAATCCCGCTTAAGGCAGCGCTTGAGTCACCAAAGCTACAAATGGTTTCCTCGGTGCCTCCAGGGGTGCAGAGTGAGAAGAGGCACCAGAATGAAAATAAACACAACAGCGATAATGCATTCACAAGAGATGTTACCGGGGAGGGAGGGAGGGGGGAGGTGTCCCCCTGACTGCCGTAGCGCAGCACAGACATCAAAGGGGAGCAAAGTGAAGTCTGTGTGCGCTTTGGAGTACATGCGCTTGTTTCTTGAGCACATTATGATCGAGACTGATGCTGACTGTTTCTGCTAGGTTAAAGCTTCTTCTCTTCTCTCTCCTCGTTGCTGCGCAAAATGAGATACAGTATCTCTGGCGGCAGAGACAGACTGTCACGCAAACTGTCTGATGTCAGCGCCTTCATGGGAAACATGCAAAAGAAAGAGAGGGGTGGCAGGGGGAGGAGAAAAAAAGTCACGGTTGCCTCTGTGGTGCTTTAATGACACAACAGGATAGGCAGCATTGGTCCGTGTCAACTCTGGAGGAGCTGCAGAGATCTACAGCTCGGGTGGGAAGACTCTGTCGACGGGGCAACTATTTGATTGGACAAAGCGAAATCCTTAAAGTCGACTCCAGTCAAACCCAATCACCCTTAATTGAAGTCCTCTGACAGATGGAGACGCCAAGGCAAGGACAGGCAAAGCAAGAGTCACCTTCATCCAGCTCAAGAATAACTGGGTCATCCGGGTCCGACTGTCCAATCCCAGTATGACGTCAGTACCGCTGAAACCTGCAGGACAGGCAAAGCCTCCAACAGAAACAAACCCAGACATTCCTGAACAGTTGCTTCAGAAGGATTCTCCACATTTTCTGGTCAGACACTGTCTGTAACTGCGTTTCCGTTGACCATACAACAGAGCAAACTGAAATTACGAAAACAAATTGTTTAATAGAAGCACAGCAATAAAAAAAAATAATAATCACATTTTTTTGATCAAAAGTTCTAACGTGAGGTGGTTTTTCAATTTTATCGAAATTTGAACACTTTGCAAAACTGCAAAGGAAACACTTTTCTTCCATCAAACTAGCTTGTATACAGCAGTAACTCGCTAATTTTTACGCACAGGATCCGAGGTGGAAGCGCCAAGGCAACTGAAAGACAGGCTGTCCAAAAAACACCTGGCAATGAGATCTGGAGGTAGACGTCAAAAATATGGCAGACAAGAAAGAATGGCCATAGGACCGAGTTCTACCTTTGGTGGCCCAAACCCCAGGATGGGGTGAATAGCAAAGAGAGATTACCCAAAATGAACATTTCATTAAGAGCAGCAAGAAGTAAGGAAAGCTATAAGAAGGGAATACAGCAAGAATGAGAGCAAAGCTGAACTTTTTGCTTTGCATTCTAGATTCTTCTAACCAAACAGGGGCTTAAAAAAAGTCAGACACGCATGAGGCTGATTACATTTTGAGAAAATGAAACAATAATTCCAATACTCGTGCATAATTTTCTTTCCGTTTTCCGTGTAGATACAGGTGTTTCTCTGCCAAGAGACGCAGAAACCACTGAACCCTAAAATCTGAAATTTTTTTCTTCCTACCCTTGCACAGTTGGAGAATGCGTACTAGGAAATGTTTGAAGTATGAAAAAGTGTGACGCTCCTGCGGTTAAGACGGCAGAAACAGATCGAGTAAGTCAGAGTGTGTGAAAAATCTTGTGTGCGCATGATAGTCCCAGGGGAGCGAGTGGGAAAGGATAGGAAAGGAAAGGAAAGGAAAGGAAAGGAAAGGAAAGGAAAGGAAAGGAAAGGAAAGGAAAGGAAAGGAAAGGAAAGGAAAAGAAAGGAAAGGAAAGGAAAGGAAAGGAAAGGAGTAAAAAGCAGAAGTAAGGTTTTAACAGATGACAGTGTGTTCCCCTCCTGGTGATTGCTTGCAGTTTGTGCCCTACAGCTACCTCGAGGATCTGGCACAGACAACAGAATGGAGACAAATCCGAGTGAACGTGCTGAGATTCATCATCATTTGCAGCACAATAAAGACACATAATGGGGGGGGGGACCGATTTTACATGGAAAAGCCATTCCCTCCATGTGGAGGAGATTAGCTGCCATTGATGATGTTCCAACCTCCCCCCACCCCCTTTTCCTGATTTTTCCTATTTTCTCCCTCCTTTTGCTCTTGCATCCAGCTCATCAAGTTAGATCGTTGCCAGAACTGAAGAAACGAGTGACTGTCTTGTGAGGAGAGGCAGGCGTCAGACCTCAGTGGCTCCCAACAGAAAGAAGCTCTGGGTAAAATGCTGACGGTTTGACACATCCCTGTTTCTTCAGGTGCCAGGGCCCCTTTGTATATTTTTTTTGACACATTGCAAAGTGGTCACTGTGAAACCCTTTCGGGACTTCTAATGTGCAATGAAACGTGGAGCTCAAACTGCCCCTGCACCGGCCCTTTTTGGAGGGGTTTTGCTGATGTCAAAAATAATATTTTTCTCCGTTTGCCGTTTCATGTGACAGAGATGTGCGCATCGTCGGTTTCTCGGCGAGCTTCCCACCAAGACAGTGTGATGACCGGATATATAAATCAGGAATGGACAGATCTCCACAAGGAGTGTGAATAATCTGGCAAACTGAAGTATTTTCAATTTGAAATATTACGACGCTTTTCTGCCCCCTAGCGCCAGGTGCAGAGGGGGGGGGGGCGGGGGATTTCAGCACCAGGGACAGTTTCCCACTCCCATCATTTACATTTCTCGTATGACGGACTTTAAATCTCTAAAATTAGCAAATGAAATTCATTCAAAAATCGTCGCCTGCATCCCAAAATTTCACCTGCATCGGTTTTGCATGATGACTCCCTGATGCAAATACTCAGTCATCCAATTAACGCTCCTTTTTTCATTGTTTGTTTCTTCGCTGGTGATGAAATTCTGCACAATCGCCAGCGCAATGAGGGGTAAACTGTGCACTACAAACCTCTACCAGAAAAATGTGGAGACAGAAAGATGAGCCAAAAGGCTCACTTACCCCTCTCCAAACTCAGATTTCTGCAAACTTCAAGCTCCGCCATTTAGATCTGGAGTTGTCCCTCCGTGCGCTTTGGGCATGTTTTTTTTTTCTTCTTCTTTCTCTGATAATTATTCCCTATTTGTGGCAGCGATAAAATGCCAACATGCCAATGCGTCCATGATGATGAGGCGTTTCAAAAGAAGCGCGCCATGAGGACAGAGTGTCACTTTTCTTGCCCCCCCATTTTTCTCACAGACGTCCCCCTCCCACCCCGCCGCCCCTTAAGCCTGGTTTATCCTCATCCTCCGGTTTGCGCGCAGCGCATCTTCTCCCTTCATCAGGCGCAAAACGCCGCGGCGGAAAACCGATAAGCCGATTTTTCACGCGCTTCGACGGGGCTGACGAGAGACTTGGATGTTAATAAGCAACAGCTCAGGACGGGCGTGGAGAGAGAGAGAAGTGTGTGACACAGCGCGCAAAAACGAGAAGGAAGGAAGGAAGGAGGGGAGGGGTGGCGCGGTGGGTGGACAGCTCACAGAGTAGTGGCAATTATTGCATTTCATCTGCTTCCCAAACGTGAATTCCCTACCAGAAAAAAAAACAAACGAAAAACATTTGGTGCCACATCCGCTTGTTCTGTTTGATTTTTTTTTTTTTTTTTTTTTTTTTTTTTTTGGTTTGAAAAATGCAACAAAAACGGCATCGATGCGCAGCGGTGACCCACTTTACGCCGTCTGTCTCTTTTCGGATCTTCTTCAGTTTATGCGGGGAATTTAAACCGGCGCTCCCAAGAGAGAGAGAAAGAGAAAAAGAGAGAGGCCCAACTGTGGAGTCCGCATTAAAAATTAAAAAAAAAGAATAAAAATAAGCTTTTAAACTGTGTGCGGGTGCTTATTTGTGTGCCTTTTCCAGCCAGGAGCGTGTCGCTCCCGGTTGAGTCATTTCCCTAAAGTGAGTCTCGTCGGTCTGGAGCTCCCAGATTGGTCCTGTTCACCGGTCCACGCAGGGAAAGCCCGTTTCATTTAGTGCTGCGGGAGAGAGGAGAGTCCCAGAGGTTACCTAATCGATCAGCTTGAACCATCCCCACCAGCAAAACGCATCTGTTTCTGCCTCCACGGGTGTGCCTGTGATTTTTTTGTTGTTTCAGAATCAGATGAGGCTTCCCCACTGATTGCTCTTTTTTTTTTTTTTTTTTTTTTTCTGACACGTTAGAAAAACAAAATCCAACGTGTTTTTCTTTGGGAGGTTTTGTGTAAACGAATCAACACAAAGTACAGCGTGAAATGGAAAACTGGAAAGACAAACATGCGTTTCTCCCTTTTTTTCAGAAATAAAAGACGCACATTTTACACTGATACCCCAAAATAAAATACAGATATATCGTTTTGTTTTTGTTTTTGTTTTTTTTTTTTTTTGAGGGAAGTTTCTGGTGAAGTCCATCTCAATTTCATTAATACAGAGAAAACAAATATGAAACAAATCTGTGAAGGAGCTGCAGAAATCCACAGATCAACAGGTTGGCTTCTTAGCGTCAAGAAGAATGCCACTGCTGAAATAAAGAAGTTCTGTTTGTAGTTTGGCACAATCAAAGTCACAGCAGACACACAAAATGTTTTGGTGCTTAAGTCAGATAACGGCAAAGAAGTTAAAGCCATTTTGGTTAAACATAAAATACCATGTTTGGGGTGAACCAACAACACGTCACATTACTCTGTAGACATACCTCAATGAGACATGCATCATTCTGTGGAAATTTTTTTTTTTAGCAAGGACAGATAAGACAGTCAATAAGATTTTGAAACTGTTGTTTCCATCAAATCTGACTGAGCATGAGATTTAGACTCTTAGGGGTTGAATGCAAATGCGTAGAAGACCATAAGTGAAAACCATGAGTTGTTTTCTTTCTGCTTCAAACTAATGGGCCACTTTGTGTCTGTCACATAAAACACCAGTAAAATTATCTTCATTTTGCTGCAATTTGAGAAAAATTTGAAATCCTCAATGGGTGTGAACGAGGCGAGGTGCTGTGTGTTCACAGCCACCAAAAAGTCAAAGTTTACTACCCATGACTGGTTTATGGACCATGACCAAAGCAGAACCATTCAGCCAGTTTGAATTTCAAAAATGAACAGAGGAATGCACTGGGATTAGGCAGGTCTGGGGGAGAAATTAAGTGAGAGGAAAGTCATGTGGAAAAAAAAAATGAAAAGAGAGAAACACATGTTTACTGAAATCGTCCTTGGCTGACATGAAAGGACCGGCTGCCAGTGAAATGAGGGATGCAGACAGATCGGGAAGGGTTGCAAAGATACAACTCTCTAACAGCTGCGGGGTGATTTACTTAAACCAAATGCTGGGTTTGTGCTTTTTGGACAGAACTGGAGTAGTTTTAGCAAAACAGTAGGTGAACACATTTTGACCCAGTTTGTTGGAGTAGAAAGGAAAGCTGGAGAATCGTCATTTTCTGTTCGCTTTTGAACTATAGAACCTGATTAGATGTCCACAAACCTCTGCAATAACCAAATCAATCCAGTTCAAAATTATTTTATTAATCCCAATGCAAAATTAAATGTTGCAACTCTTAATATCACACCAATTAGAACCTATTTTAAGCTTCCTTTAAGAGTAATAAGGTTTTTTTTTTTTTAAAGCAATTGGATGGAATGGTGCAGAGGTTTGGTGGAATGATGATAAAATAAAATATGGTAAAAGCATGCTTTATCATTATGCTATAATTACAATAATTAGTTCAGCTATGTTAACATCAGTTGATTGTGTCAATTATTTTAGTCGACAATAGAGAATGAGTGCATTAGTGTTTCACCTGCTAATTAGTGCAAGCCAGCGTTACTGTCACACTTTGACCAAAGAACATAACAACAGGCTTTTACCCGCTCAGCAATTAGCGTAAGCTGAAGTTTGCCATGTTCAGACTTCATATTTTGGCAAAACAAATTGGTCATAAACGTAATATAGACATGCAATATTATGCCGTGCTAAATGTTCCCCCATAGCAACAGTTCTCTCCGGATATTCCAGCTTTAACTTTTACTAGCTTAAAGTTGAGTTAAGTAACCTTTATTTCAAATATATGTTTTTTGACTATTTGTTAAAGCTGTCACAATGTCCTAACAGTACTATAGAATACAAAATAATCTGTGAAAAGATCAAGCTTCTCTGCCTTCTCGCTGTGGTCCTAGAGCCATCTGCAGAAATACACCGCTCAGTCAAAAAACAACCATTCAGAATTGGAAGGAGGGTCTTAGCGCGGTCAGTCACTCTGGTGTATGTGCTGTTCACAGCTCTCTGCTACGCTAGTTAGTTCACCGCAAGCTTGCCTGTCGTGAATGTGCAGGCTAGTTAGCATGCCCGCCGATGACGGCAGATAAACAGTTCCCGTGTAACTGTAAGTTGTTTCTCCACCATCAGTACACTGATCAGCACGTACATGAGAGTGGTTGACAGCACCAAAACCTTCCTTCTGGTTCTGACTGATTGTTTCTGACCGGGACCAAGAAGCAGCCCTAATGAAAACCATGGTAGTTAGCTTCTGCTGTAGTGCCAAGACAGTTTCCACTGTGCATATTAATATATATTATATGACGATTGAACTATAAAAATAGTCTTTTTTTGGAACGGAGTCACAAGTATTTGTGTATTTTAACTATTCAAGGGTGGTTGGGCGCTCATGGACCTGACTACCCCACCTCCCTATCACTAACCCCAAGATTAGATGGGTAAAAATAATGACTTTTAATGCTAATGTCACTTTTTTAGTAGGTCAGATCAAAGGTAAGTATTTTTGTAAAGTGCCTTAAGTTGGTATCAAAAATCTGAATTGAATTGAAATAATACCTTTAAGCCCATTTGCCCCAAAAATGAAAAAAAATATTACAACATAATAAAAACATTGGTTGTTTGTTGGATGCAAGAATTAAGAGATTTACATTCAACTGGACCTTTAAATCATAATTCTTTCCTTCACATCACTGTAAACCACTATGGCGGCTTTTACACAGTAAACGCATGTAATAAGATTTCAATTAAAGTAATGGATTGTTACATAATTGTTGTTTATTAGAGCAAATACATGTATCAAAATCAGTAAGCCAATTGTTTTTACTTCATCATAATCCCTCCAGAGAACATTTTAATCTGAATAAGTCTGTTTAAAATGCAAAATATTATATATTATGTTATCCCTCATGCCATAAGGATACTAAACAATCTTTTATTATATATACTTATAATGACACTTTTATTATTTATTTATTTATTTATTTATTTATTTATTTATTTATTATTGGAGCCTTGCAAAGAAATTTCTTTCAGTTTGTACATTTTTAAATGTACAGTTGAATGACAATGAAATCTGTCCATGTCTAAAATGTGGTAAAAGAAGTGACAAGGAAACAGACGGCGCTTTAATCTGATGAACTCCTCCCCTGCAGAAGAGCACAGAGGCTCTTGAGCCAGTATTTTTTTTTCTACCTTTGAAAGCACACAAAAGATGGTCGCTGTCTAGGTGAGGCAGTAAAAGGTCTGTCTGCAGTGGGCGTGACAGCCCACAGAGACACGCCAACTTATCAGATTTTCCACGGATTTATCCGGTGGCTTGGTCAGCAGGAAGTCTCACTGTGTCAAAACCTTCAGCTCAAGATCACACTGATCCCATAAAACATCTGGATTTAGCTCAGCTTTCAGGGGATAGGAGAGTGTAGAGAAGGGGGGGAAAAGATCCAGTGTTTTTCTATCCAGTAGAACATTTAGCACAGCACGGCGTATAAATGCTCCAGATGATGAGTCCAGATGGTAACTAGAAGGGTAATCCATTATGTTTTACAAGACAACAAAAGTGGAAATACTCAGAAATAACAACTGTTCTTAAAATAAAAGCAAGAAATACAAGCATTCATAAGCTAACTATGTTATTTATGTGCATATTTACTCCCATAATGCATTGATGCAGTTGTATTGGTTGTGTTGTGATATTTAAAAAAGCTGATTATCAAACACAAATATGTCACAGAGTCTCCCTCTAGTGTTCACTCCTTGTACATATGATGGTATCAGCCTGGTTTCTGGTTTGTGCTTCATGCATTCGATGGTGTGTGGCTCCTGATATTTACCCTGAAAGACGCTGTTGTCTGTGAGGAAGTGCCGCCGGTACTGTGGCTCTCCTTTCCTGTTCACCACCCGGGAGCTCATGGCGAGAGGAAGAGGAAGGAAAACAAATCACCTACCTATGAAGGAGAAGAAAAAAAAAGTATTTTAATGTGCTGCTTCAGAATGAGAAACGGGGCATAAAAAAATGTATTTCATGCTAAACAGATTAACTTATTTGCATTGGAGGGAGGAGTTAAGTTATACCCTTCATCCATCCCTCCTTTCCTCCTCCCTTTCTCTCCACAGGTGTTCTCATTTATCTTTTTCTTTCCATCAGAGCTCCAGTTTTTACTGCTTTGTCCTCCTGATTCCTTGTCGTTGCTGATCCTCCCACAGCCAGCACTCTGTGATTCCCCACCTGTTGCTCATCTGTCCACTTGATTTAAAGCTTCAAACCACCGCCGTCTCTATCTCTCAGAAGCACACCCGCCGGAGGTGCTCCGCTCTGGGAAGGGTCGGAGCCTCCGGGATATTTATTGCCGTCTGGTACCCAGCGACTTGGTGAGGGGTTACCGTTGAACACACAGAGATTAGGGGTCAAGTATTCTTGAGGAGAAAGTATTTTCCTTTGACCCTGCCACCGGAATACTTTGAACCATGCCTGTAATGTAAGCTACGGTTGGTTTTACAACTAATGCTGTTTTTTTTCCCTCCTTTGTTGCACAAGATTGTTTATTGCATCATTAAAATTTTTTTTAAAGGGGCGGTATTGTGTGTTATCCAGCCACATAGTGCCATTTTATAGTACAGTTAAGTAACTATGTTACCCTCAGATGTTATAAAGTTGCTGTGTATATCAAATATGACTTAAAAGAAATCTGACTTTGTAATTTAACACCTTGAAATTGGGCCTCTGTCTCTTTAAGAAAGTCCTGCTCTTTCCAATACCCCGCCTTCAGGAAATCATCATAACATTGTTCTTCTACTAATCCTTTGTTTTACTAGAGTTTAACTAATAAGTAGCTTGTATAATGAGCTCAGCGTAGTTCCACCAGAGGTTTGCTAATTGCTGCTGGCTAGTCTGAAGG